GTTGTTATTAGGAATGTAATCTTCAGGACAATTGGTGCACATCGTCGAGTTATACTCTTCCGAGATCTCGTTCAAGTCACATTTGATGCACTGCCAGCAACATCCAACCTTTTCCGTCTGCCAGAATCCAGGCGGACATATTTCCTGGCACACGGACTTTGGAACCTCTCCTTTGCTGTCGCCATTCCACATAACTTCTTCGTCATCGATTTGAAGCTGTGAGGAGTCCATAGCTTCCCATGACCCGACGGGAATAAATTTCCAAGATCCATTTCGTTTTTGCAAATTCACAATGTCATACGAGCCTGAGGTATCTCCATTAGAATCAAAGCTTACTCGAGATACTGGACTTGTGAAGTTGACAACTTTTAGATAGGTCAGGAGGTCCTTTGGGTTTACATGGGGCTTGAGAGAAGGACATTTCCCACCGTCTAATAAGCCATGCGGCTCTTTACATTTATGCATGTTGTCCAATGCATGTGCAACAGCATAAACGGCATTAAAGGCCGATGTTGACATCTGGGTATGCATTTTCCTGTTGTAAATTTCTCTGGTTAAAGCTGATTGGTTAGTGCACTTTACYCAGAATTCCTCCCACCACTGAACGGGTTTGTATTTTGGTGTCAAGTCCATCAGATATTGAATAAWGTTATGTACTTGAATATTTTGATGCACTATACCCAGCATGCCTTTCACGACACTAAGGTGACGCAATACTCTCCTATCATCGCCCCAGGCCTCGCTGGCAATCCACGTCTTTCCAAAGATCTTTTGTCTTCGAGCCTCTTTGAAAATRTGATGAGCTTGAACAGTCTCACCGTACAAAACAACTACTTGGACGTTTGACAAGTTTTTCAGATTATAAATGATCCTGGAAATTTGGAACTGAGTHGAGTTCATGTCTTGTGAGTGAACACTGAAATATTTCTCCATGGCAAGACAGATTCCACGAGATGATAAGCTTTCCTTTAGATTAGCGATGCCGGATCTATAAAAAAGATAGCAATAATACTCATTGAATGATAATGAAAATGAGCAACAATGATAACGATAACTGTTAAATTCATGGTATTGAGGTCCTGCATGGAAAATCGTGAATAAGACTGTGATGCAGCTTATAAAATTCATAAAGGAAGTAATTTGATGGATTATGGATTGAGACCCCGCTAAAGCGGCCACCGAACAACCAACGAAACAGTGGACTTGTTTACCGACCGGACATATAGAGGTACATGTACATAGGCCGTATAAAGTGGTTGGCCATACAAATCGAGTTTCCACTGTGTGTCAGTTTGTTGCTGTGACAGGAGCAGTTTCGTTTTAGATAGGTACAAGAAAAAGGAAAGAAATAATTGTCATATTTGGAGACTGATGCACATATCTTTCGTTGTAGTACTAGTTTGTAGGCTTGATGGGTGAAAGCATTAGCGTAGGGAGGGGACACGATTTTCACAATTTTCATAAATGTTTGGAGAAAAAAAACTGAAATATATGATATTATGTGTCTCACCTCCCCCTTCAAAACAATTCAATTCTCGCCACCCCCTGGTAAAAAGGCATGATCCATATTGTAGTATATCAAGGAGTGCAGTAAGCATAACACATTACCTTCCATAAGCATCATCGATAGCAATTGCTGCGACATATGTCCAATTGAAATGGCTTACTAAGTCAGCCATTGCCTGAGATTGATAGCGATCAGGGAGCACGGTACGTAAAAACGTTGGGTACGTCTTCTTCTGACTAAGCTCGTCGCTCGTCGCTGCGTAGCTGATGAGTGGGATATTCTCCACTTGAAGSAGATTAGACACAAGTATAGATCCTCTAGAGCTCCCTGTTCCAATTACAACAGGTACTTCACTTAGACCATGCGTGTGCGAAAAGCAGACGTCTTCGTTTGCGTACATCGATGACAATTTCTTYCTGTTCAAGATTTTCGAAGCTATTTCCATAGCATATCGACTTATCAAGCAAGAATCATAGATCTCAAACCCCAATGTGACGTTCGGTAGGATCGAAGAGTCTTTGTTGATTTGTTCAATGGCAAAAACCATCGCTTGAGAAACAGCTACGTACTTGCAACTATAATGTTGCCTTCCGCAGCCRAATTCGTGAATTGGGAAGATTCCAGCCAGAGTCACATCGCCTGCCTTGGCGTATTTTCCATCTACGAGAGATGCATTCCACTTGATAAAAAGGAGAAGAAGAAAATAAGTTTTTAAGAAAGCAACAAACATTTTCATGGGATGAGGTTTGCATCTATAAGAACAAGATCAAACTAAACTACGGTTTTCCTCATTCTTCTTCATTTCAGCCAAAAACTTTCGAAACTGTCACTCGACTTTTGGTTTTTACTCTCGGATTTCAGGAAGGTTAAGAAAGGGTAGAATGGCCGGGAGTTATCCAGGGAGAATGGAGCTAGAGGAATTCCTACGAACGAAGCTGCAGTAGATCTATATCTTAAATTGCACGTAAAGTGAAATTCCCTGATTTTTCAATGGCAAAACAACATTTTTATTGATCAAGTTTTAATGATAAAATCTCTATAATCTCTATTTCTATAATATACTCCAGTTTCGAATTCTCTATTGTGCATGCTTAGATTCTTTGTACACAGAGTGTTTGCATTACAATAGGATCTCTGCTGAATAAAAGAATATATTACATGCTTTCGAGGTAAAGGCAGCACAAATGAGATCTCGAAACTGGAGTATTTGTTTATCGAATTTGGAGATAACGATTTTTCTGAAAAAATATACAAAATTCCCTGTTTTTACATAAATTTGAAAATTTGCCTGACCAAATTCAATCTCCTCTCGGACTGATAACTGAACAGTACAAATAAATTCTAAACTCACTGACTTTTCCATGACATTATTCAAGGAACCGAGAAGTGGTTGGAATCTAAATGATAAACTTCCGTATGTTTGTACGAGCAATTAATGTTAAGATATCTGTTAATATTTATAATATTTTTTGTTCCATATTAAGAAATGTTATCAAATCAATTAATGCATCTAAGATAAATTTTATTAAGGTCAGTTTCACGTTATTTATGACGGAAAAGTTCCAAGTCAAGTCATCAACTGTTATTTCCTTGACTTGCAAAAGTCTTTTTCAAGGTTCCCTCCGCCATCTTGAAATGAAGCCGTGCCTTTGCATCGAAGCGAGACGACCGTTGAGCGTTCAATGATAGAAACCTTCTTTCACACCTAAAGATAATTATTTACAGGTATCTATCATTTCACGCTCAAAGGCTACCTTTCAAGATGGCGCACGTAACCGTGAAGGAGACTATTGTTCTATGGTAACTCAAATTTTCCATTATTTTTTGGTGTGGGAAGATCCTCCGTCGACCTGAGTAGCTCCTCGTTTTGCTGAGGCTGCTGCAGAAGTCTCCATAGTACTCAGCCTAAAGGCATGTCTGGTTAATTCTTCCTGGATATACCGTTTGGTATTCTTCTCGGGTGCCCACAAGATAATATAAATCTTTGGCACAAACATGCACACTAAAATACCCGAGGCAGATAACAATGTCGTTGCACAAAGAACGACAACAGTGTATATATCTTGAATGTTTAAAAACACGGGGTAAAACGTGAGCCATGAAATCATCAAAATATACAACGAGAATGCTATGAATTTGCACTCGTTGAAGTTATCTGGAAGTTTTCTTGCCTTGTAGG